CTTTGTAACGGTTATTATTATTTATCTCTCAGTTCTTACTAAACTTCATTTTACTTTATTTTTTTTACCTAGACTACTTATGTTTCTCATACCTTGTTATCTGGTTCTTTTCTTAGTAAGTCACGTTTTTCCTTTGTTTAATAAGAATCGATAACTAAAAAAATACTTAATTTAAGTAATTACTAATTGATTCACAGAAAACTGGACAAATTTTACTTCAAATGAAGGTGGAGTTGGTCATTGGTAAAACCATAGGCGCAGACTTGCGATTGATTGGGGCGATGGACTAAAAAAAAAATGGCGGATGGTTTCATTATGTGTAAAAGTTCAACGTAATTATTGTGAAACGAACAAATTTAATATTTAAAATTTATTTGTTCATATGTTTGTTTAGTTGTAAGGATTTCTATTTTTTTATGTTTTACTTATTACATATACTTCAAAATATCTATAAAAAAATACAATTGAATATATAACATATCTGTTTAGATTAAACACAGGGGAGAGAATAAACAACCTTCATAGCATTGGTACATTTCTAGAACTTTTTCAGCTAAAAATGAATGATGTTAATAAAAAAAATTGATTTCTTAGTGTGTACAACCTCAAATAAAAATACGTTTTTCACAGTCTGACTAATTCGCCGCGGAAAATGTGAATATCACGTGAAAATTATTTTCATGAAAATAATTCAAGCAATCAGCTTCTTTATTTTTCACGCAGATATTACGACAGGAAACGTTTAATTGGTCACTTATAAATACGGATCAATTTCTATAATAGAGATGTTAATAAAAAAACTCGGTTTTATTATCATTATAGATGATAAATATTCGAAAATCATTATTTTTAACATTTTTATTGTAATAAATAAAAACTGTATTTATTAATTTATGTTTTTGATAATACATCCCAGTTAATGGGAAAAAAAAATTAAAACTTTGCAATAATTTATTGCAGTCATTTTTGTCAAAAACACGGGTACTTTAAGTTAACAGGATATCAAAACACTTCATTTTTTTACACAACTTGAAGTGAATCTCAACTTATTTCTTAATAAACCCACAGATTAATTAATATGGACTTAAAGCTTATTAAATAAGAAAGTGTTTAGGGGATGTTTATAGTATAGTTGGATGGTGATCAATAAAAATCGTGAATAATTCATGATTTTTTTTATGTCACAACATAGCTTAATTTATTCGTTCAAAAGTTTATTCTAAATGATTTTTACAATAACAAACTCTACTTTCGTTTGAAGCAAATTTTGTCTAGTTTATAGTGCATCAATTGTTAATTAATTATGTGTACTAATGTTTTAGTTATCGCTTCCTATACATCAAAAACCATGACTTACTTAAAAAAACAGAAAACTTAAATTGCCTATAATTCTGCCGAAGTTCAGACAATCGTTTGTATGATGTTTTTGATAGCTCTAGAGGTAATGTTGCCCAAATGTGAGACCGAGTCCTTGGTCTTGCAAACTCAGTCTTGTTCATGATCTTGGTCTTGCGCTAGAGTCTCGCAACAGTCTTGCAGTTACTTATTAACTTATTAGTGTAGAGATATTACTGTATTTTTTTTATAGGAGAAATCTAACTAAGCCTGAATGAAAAATTAGAAAAGTTAAATGCAAAAGTATATTGGTTATACCAATTATTTACATATTTAGTAACTAAAATTGTTAAGTATTAGAAACTACTTTGCCTTACTTTTTATTTAAAAAATTTATTTTTTTTTAACATTCCTGGTCTTGGTCTTGCAACAGTTAGGCGGCCAAGTGCAAGATCAAGACCGATTTTGGGCTACATTATCTACAGGTGTACTATTTTATGTTTAAATATTTTCCTCTACTAACGGTAAACTCAGTATATTATTATCTTTTAATATAAATGATAATTTTAATAAAAGTAATATTTAGGTATCAATAAAATAGTTACATACCTACTACAAGGCCCTTGCCTAGCTTGCTAGTCGACTTTTCTTAATCGATTTTAGTATGTATACACATTTTATTATATTATTTATTGTTGATTTTAATTTTTTTTGCCTCAAGTTATTGGGGAGGAGGAGCGAAACGATATTCTCGCAGTATCAACATTCCCTTCGGCCCCTCTCTTCCTTAGTCCGCACCTATGGGTAAAACCACCCATAGAGGATTTTTGAGCGGCTAAGCTAATTTATGTTTTTATAGATAAGAAATAGTGAATTATTCGCGACTTTGTTTTTATCGTCTATCAACTATGCTGCAGATAACCCACTTTTAGAAAAACTTCCTCGTTTAACAAGCTTTCAGTCCATATTAATTACCGTCGAGAGCTTACTACTATAAAGCAATTGGTAATTATTTAAATTAAGTTTTTTTTTTTTTGGTCAAATTCGTTTTTAACAAAAAACGTGACTTACTTAAAAAAACATAAAACTTAAAATTTCCTATTTTTCTGATAAAAATTCATTCATTGTCTATATAAACGCTTATGTAGCTCTTAAAGTCTACTATTGGATTGTCCGGAAAATAATGCAGGATTTTGGTTTAAAAATAAAAAGGAAAGATTTATAACTCTTTTATTTAATCAAAATAGCCAAATGTTATATCTATTCAAAATAGGCCAGCTTATTTGAGTTTTTTCTATTTCTGCTCTATTTCTATTCCAAGGGTCTATTTATATGTTTTCGGAGCCGTATATTTTTTTTAATTTTTTGTATTTTAAGATTAAACCACCACGTTGCGGCTTTACTTGATTTTTTTTTCATTTCTTCGATGTAAGGGCCCGATTTATGTATTTTATGAGGCAAAGTTTTTGAAAACGATCTCCATTTTGGAATTAAGCCACTGTGTTGAAGATTATTTGAGATTTTTTTTTTTTTTTTTTTTTTTTGTATTTCTTATATATAAGGGTCTATCTATATATTTTCGGAGCCACAATTTTCGAAAATTATCTCCATTCTCGAGCTCGCAAATAAACACAAATGTTGGCATTGTTAGATGAAGTAGAATTTGAGATCCTTTACTTCTTTTCTGACACGCATGATGATCTAATTGTATTAAATAAGTACCCAATTATAAAAAAAATATATATATTATACAATATGCTACTCCTATCTTCAGCACCGGCTGTACGACTTTTTTATTAAATTAAATCAAGCATTTTCTTAATTCTTAAATTAGGCAACAATGACAGATCTACCAGAAAGTAATGAAGTAAGTGATGGACTCTTTGAAATGAGAGTAGTTTTGAAAGCGAATATGACTATTTCAGATTCAAAAATGTGAATTAAGTTATTTTTTATTTTTTTTATAAACATTACAACGATGATTTCTATGTTTAACATTTTTTCATGTTAAATTATTTAATTTAACGTTCGTAAATTTATTTAAAACAACCTAATATGGTTAAAAAATATTTGAATTACTATAAAAAATCTTTTTCTTTGATTAAGGAATATACGGGAGGCGTTAATAATTAAAATCAACAAAATCTAGCGTTATAAAATTGCTAACATATTCGTGAACAAATGACTAATAATAAATAAATAAATTAAATTTCTTAAATTCCAGATTTTTATTGTACCAACTTGGGCATCATCACTTTTAATGTTTCCCTCTACTTACGGGACATTCTGTATAGAATAAAATGAGAACACATCGGCTGGAGAAGTTACCGTCATATTCTAATTGTTTTAATACATAATTATAAAAAAAAATAGTTATAATAAAAGATATTTTTAAAAAATACATATTTAATTTAATTAATATATAAGAGCAAAAACCTCTAAGAAATATTAAGTTACAAACTAAAATAACAATTAGGCCATTATTGGAATATTCCAAATTAAAAAAATCTGGTTAGTCCACTCACACCACTTTCCTACCAATACAAAAACCGCATATCGGAAATTCGACCCGATTGCAATACTTTCCTTGCCTAGTATAGGAAAGTAATAAATTTAAATAGAAAATAGAATATGCTGTATAATCGCTAATACTGGTTCGATTCCGATGATTTTTTTTTTTGTTTTGTTAGTAATTTAATTACCTTTTAAAAGTTTTATTATAAATTTTACCATAGAATATATACTTAGAGAGTTAGCCCTCAAAACATTTTTCTTTTCTTTATAACTTTTTTACTTAATTTTCTCAGGAATTTAGTCCATATACGAAAATTGAAAGGACAATTATTAAAACATTATACGTAAGTTTCATAAAAATCGTTAGAGCCGTTTTTGCGCTACAGAAAAACATGTTTTTCATTTATTGCGCATGGAGCATCCAATTTTTGTCACAGGCGTCAGTAGTCAAAACCCTAAAAAATAAAAAAAATAAAAAAAGCAACAAATTCGGTTCAGTAGTTCTCGAGAAAATCTTGGCATAGACAGACAGACCAATTGCTAATAATGTTTTTATCGAAATCAGGGGGCTCTGAAACGTATAGATCCGCCAATAACCGCATATCGTAAATTTGACCCGATTGCAATACTTTCCTTACCTAGGTTAAAAATTATTATAAAAAATCTAGGAAATTAAAAAAGAAACAGTACACTTTACCTTATCTACGAGGACGAAACGTTGATTACTTATAATTAGCTATTTACTGCTATATAGAAATTATTTGGTTTGTTTTGGAATGTTTTAATAATATCTTACGGCATTTAATATCTAATATTTTAAAATTAAAATACACTTTCGATTGCTAGATACTTAAATTAAAATTAATATCAACTTTAAGTAATGATAATTGACTGTAATTCTATTTTTAATGTAGAAATTGGTCGGGGGTGAGGTCAGTAAAAGTAATATCTTATTGGCAACGTTGATTTTTAGAGTTCTTTTAGCTCTGATGAAGACCTACAACCTAGGTCGAAACGTTGGCAATAAAATATCACTATAATTTATAGTATTTCTACTGACCGCATTCCCGACCAACTTCTTTTCAACTTAAAGTATACTTTAATCAACAAATTTAGTTGTTCAGATAGTGAAATTTTTCTTATAACCGTACCATCGTAGTCGAAAGTTCCGTCCGGCTTGAATAGTGACTTCTGTGAGGTAGTTGCTTCGGAACTATTTTCTTTGACTTCTTTTGCTTCTGCATTCTGTTCTTCTTCACTAGCATCCTCAAGACTCCCTCTATAATAAATCATAGGTTATTTTTAAATCTATATTCTAAAAGTAGTCATACTTTGAGAGGTAAAACTATATCACACACAGATTAAAATATTTATAACTGCTAAGAAAATGTGTAGATTTTTTATTTTATTTTAACCCATAAAAATATTAAAATAAATAACACTTCTGAGTTTATTAAACCCTCTTTATTATTTAATTCTAATTCGTTTTATTTATACATCAGGATAGCGAAAAGGGTTAGGTTTTGTAATTATTTCCCATTTTTATGAAAAGAAAAAAAAAAGTGACTCATAGGAAATTAATTTAGCATAGGGAGAATATTAATTCAAATTATAAATACTTTTTCTATGTTTGAAAGGATAGCGCACTAATTTTATTTTATAATAAATTGTTACAAACTTTTTCCTGTTATAAACCAGACCTAGACAAAATCTATTTGAAATATTATCTTAAAATACCATGTATTTTGTGTTTTTAAAACACAGAGTATTTATTAATAAAGAGAAAATGTATTTGGAATACTAATTTAAAATACCATGTATTTTGTGTTTTTAAAACACAGAGTATTTTAATTACATAATATTTAAATTGTTTTCAAAAAATGTATTTCTAACACAAAATACTATTACTAAAATACTATTTTAATTATAAAAAAAACAAAATACAACATACATTCTGGTGGACGATGAGCATATAATACAGGGAAGCTACTCTATTTTGTAATTTATTTTGTGTATTTAAAATACAAAATTGAGTTTTTATGTTGTAAATTTACTTATATTTAGGTTATTTTAATTTGTATTTGATATAGTTATTGATTATGATTTTACTTTCGTTAATTTTATGGTTTCTGTACATATGGCGTGAATGTGTTCATATCTCACTATAATTATTGTCCACGTGACAGATTATTATATTTCTAAATAAATAAATTTTAAAAATGTATTTTACAAAGAAAATAAAGTTACAAACAATCCATTTTATGTTTTAATTTTTAAAATGAAAAATACAAAAAATATATTACATTTTGTATTTTAAAATAATTTATTTGAAATACTGCCCAAGTCTGTTACAAACTATGATATAAATATTAATATAAAAACAAGACCTTGTAAGCTGGGATCTTTGTATTTTATTTGTAAATAACAATGCGGTAAAATAAACTGCTGCATACTATTTACAAATTATTGATCAGGTTAAAATGTGTTGAGCAAGTTTTGAGCTTTATTTACATAACAACAGTCGTGCTTTATCGCGTAGCAGAGGTCATGAACGAATTTCGTTTGTTGAATTTGCGGTTCTTCACTTCTAATTAGTCAGCGAAAACTTTGCCGTTTTGATTACGAAAAAAGTGATGGCCTCATCTTGTAATCCAAGAAGCGGATAGAATTTCCAAAACAAATATTTTTTTTTTAATAGATTCTGGGATTTCATTAAATTTTACAAATGATCAGTTTAACGTTTATTTTTTATTTAAGAAGATCGAAGATATTAATAAAATACAAGACAGTTAGAAAATATAACGTTTACCAAACATGAGAAACTGTACATTAATGAAAATAAATAAAATTATTTAAAGTTCTTAAAAAAATGAGATTTTTAAAACGCGATTGTGGGGGACGAATAGCCATAAATATTTCAAGTTATAGTAAAAATACGAATCCATTTTATCTCAGAAAATATCCATGCTTTATATTATTATATTAAACACAAGAATTAAAAAACAAAAAATAGAAGTAAGCTCATCTAAACATAATCGATTTAGTTTGTTCGAATAATTTACGTGACACACGAAATCGGTTCTTATTTTTTAATCAATGTTCACTTCGCAGATATCATCCAACAAAATTCAACCGTTTCATCAAACATTACCGAATTTCCTAGCTAAATCAGAGAGCATATTTTGTAATGATAGCGAAATGAGTGTTGACAGATTTCTCTTAGCCAGCGAACCGTTAAATAATGAAAGAATTATAAGAAGAAATATTAAAATTATTATTTAATTCAAAACTTTCTAAAGAAAAACCCACAAACACAATTATAGAGTATAATTAAATCGGAGGAAATTGTGAGGAAGACTAAACTCGTTCAATTGTATTTAGTTAATGTATAAGACCAATTATTAGTAAAAATCATAGGTCAGACGGAAAAATAAACCTGTCAAAACTTTTATCAGGTTAAATTGGTTTTGAATTGTATATTCTTGTCATGTGCAACGATTGAAATAGAATTTCAAGTGCACCGCAAGACTGAAATAGAAATAGAAAAATCAACTTTATTCTGGGATAAAGCCCCTTAAGAATAACAATATTGCCCATACAAATTAACATTATATCAGGTCACAAGACCTATCACTATAAATGAATAACTAAAACATAAGTGATAAACACAAGTATATACATATCTAAAAAGATATATTAAAGAAAGTAGATGAGCAATAGGGTTACAATACTACAGCATAGCTGCTAAAAACATACATATATATATATATATATATATATATGTTATTTAAATAAGTAAATAAAATTGGATAGTTAAGATATGAGCAAATTTTATCGTTTGAAAAACTGTAAGTTGGTTGAGTGTAATCGAAGAAGTTTGATTTGTTATCATTAATAGCTTGAGAGAAGTACTTTGACTATCAGATAAGGTTTTGAAGTAATCACAATTGGTTATAACTTGTTGAAAAGAATATTCCTTTGTACAGCAACAAAATCATTTAATAATAAATGACACACACACAAACACACACACATACATACATACATACATACATACATACATACATACATACATACATATACATACATACATACATATATATATATATATATATATATATATATATATATATATATATATTATATATATATATATATATATATATATACAATATATTAGTCAAATTAAAATGATTTAACACTCATACCCAACCGAATCCCGACGGCTGAAACTCGTCCACTTGGAAGACAATATACGAAGCATAATAATTGGATTGTTTAACGGTTCCTAATGAGTAAGTAGTCGTCTCCGACGGTCCGTTCCTTGACATTAGAAGCAGCTACTGGGCACAGAAACAGTCCCGTCAATATCGACATCGCGTCGTAACAGACCAAGCAAAATCCGGCGACTGTGAAAGTGGGAGGTCATGTGACCAGACCCCCCCCCCCTTACTGGCTCAACTATTGCATCGATTCGTTTCCCGTCACCGCTTTCGGCTACGGCTTCAACGCATCGAGGGAAAATATCCGGCAGAGGCAGCTGTTTGAACGAAAGCAGGAAACGATCCGTTGGCCCAGAAATTTTTGTTTAGCCAAGATATCAATATTTGAAATGCTAAATCAAGGTTAGAAATTGTTTAATTCTAAATGTGAAACTGTGAGCAACCAAACACGAGAAAAATGACTTGAGTAGTGGGCAGGAAATAGCATCGCTTCTGAATACGATTCCTTTTAAGTATGTCGATAATTACTATCAGAAAATAGGCAAAAACAGTTTTTAAAGTTTCTATTTAGGCTGTGAAAGTGTCTTTTCTCCTAGTGTGTTTATTTTATTTTTTCTTTAATTTGGCAACAAGCCTAAAAGTCGAGCCTTTGGCCGATTCATGTTGTCATATAAATCCATTTGTTATATCGTCATACATTTATTAAAACATTATTAGTGAATATCGTTCTAATAGGAACATTCTTATATATTCTTGCACTGCAATAGAGTGTTTTTTTTTTTTTTGTGTAGTGTAATAGTGAAAGGATCTATAGAAATGTTGCTAATATAAAAATTTTCACTAATAATGTTTTTAAAACGTCTAGCAAGTGAGCTTCCTCACCAGTTTCATTGGTTCCACACTTTTTCGTTTGTAAATAAAATCTTCGAGAGAAGCCATATTCGAAATAACTACCACAACTAAGCCCTGTAATCCCACAAAATTTACGGATCTGATATCACGTTTTGATCATCAGCAAAAACGAAAATGCAAAAGAGTTTCACATTTGCGAATCGCGTATTTGACTCTTCATGATAACAAAAAAAAGAAAAATCACGAACATAAACAATATTCAGTACAATATGCATGCATACATTGTACTTAATCTGTAAGTTTTCAATCGTAAAATGTATGGAAAAATTATTCATTAAAAAATTCGATTATTCGTTTGTACGGTATAAACAAAACTGAAACTTTCCGGCAGTCAGTACATAACTAATTTAATTTGGAATATAAGAATGACTGATGTTTACAAATTGCATGAAAAGAAGGGCTATGCATACTTAAAAATTTATTAACATTTACCCCCTTCAACAATAATTCAAAAAGCTGTCCCCTAAAGTACTACTTTAAAGTTCGAAAAATCGAAACTACGAAAACCTGGTTGAAATTTAAAAGAACCAAACACGAAATAGACAACACAAAACAATTAAATTTTTGTGTAAAGTCTAAAATCGTATAATTCTAACCTCTTAAAAATATAAAAAATTAACCTTTCCATAAGTTCAATGCCTTCTACATTTCACAGCCATCATTGTTTTTATCAATTATTTAAATTAATTTAAATTATTAAGTATAATTTAATGAAATTGATACTATAAAATGTGCACACTTCTCCAAATTTCCTCTAACTCTGAATCAAACCAAACGTGCCTTTTTCAGACTATGGACGAATCAAAAACGTTTGCAGATCCGAAAGCGGAAGTATTTTTTGAAAGTATTGGGTAAGATTAAAAGAAATTGATACATATCGATCATTTATTTATCAATCCCTCCAAATTTGGGCCTAATCGAACAAGCTGTTTTTGAGATATAGGCATTTTAAAGAAAATACATTTCCACAAATATAACATAAAGTAAAGAACGGAATTTAATAAAACTTATACATTATTATTATTTCATAATATACCAGTTGTTTCTCAAATATTGGAATATCTAAGAAAATAAACTTGCGCGTGCACAAACAGAAGTACCGTATCGATTTGATGAAATTTATATGAGACCATCTAGGTACCAACATGTACAATCCTGAAAATGTCATAAAAACCGGATAAACGGTAGTAGATGATGTGCTCGTCACAGCGATTTGACTACAGACAGACACCGATCCAAATTTGATCCTTGATGCCTGTAACGTAAAACGCGAGTGGAAATTTTCCATTCTGAGCACAAAAAAATTTTAACCTCCATGTTCCTCAAACCTTCGGTAGAGAGGAATAAAAAAAATGACGATATAAGATATTATGGATTTATATGAAAGTATTTGGAGCAATAAAAGAGAATTCCGGGCGATAGGGCAGAACCACGAAACATTGAGCGTGTTACTACATTAAAGAATAATTAAAATAATTACACTAGGATGAAAAAGAGATTTCCACAGTCTAAATAAAAACTATATTGATCCTTCCCATATAAAATAATTTATCGAAAAATCTTTAAAAATGTATAACTTGATTATTATGTACTCTATCTTTGAATAAGAAATGAAATAATCCGTACATATATCTTTACTAGGGGTTGAACCTTTTTTAAAAATACCACTTAAACAGTTTCTTTGAAACGTTTCAGGAAAAAAACTCTTTAAAATAAAAATTCTAAGTAACTTTTTTGAAATTAAGTTCTGAGATCATGGTAAACGCTTAAATTTTATATATTTAAGTTCTTTAAAAAAATGTTAAAATGATAAACTGTAATTGGTATTAGATTATTTTAATATAACTAAATAAACATTAAGCTAGAAAGAGACATAAGGTGATTATGGTATAAATTGAACGATCCAAACTACAAAGTAAAAAATCTCCAACATACAGGTGAATAGTTAGCTTGCCAACGTTTCGCCAATTCAGGCATCATCAGGGCAGAAAAAAACAAGATCGCATATATGCAGATATATGAGAAGATAAAAAAAAATTATTGCAGTCGACATCTCACGAAGCCATCCAAATACATACAGAAGGAAGGAGAAGGTTCTATTAACACATCTAAGGAAGGTTATGTTGAACAGATGGTTAACATGAATGCAAAGAAAAAAAATACAGGTAACTAAAATGTAAAAGTGTTAAAATAAATAAATAAAATTTAAAAAATAACATCCTAAATAAAAAGCTCGAAGGTATATATAACATCCATTCCAAACAAAATTCAGTAGATACATGGCCATTCCACAAGTAATATTACTACAATAAGCATAATAATAGAAAAGCTACATAAGGCGACAATGATATAAAAGGAAAGATCCAAACTACAAAGCCACGAGTCTTCAACATACAGCACTAGCGGATCCAGGATTTATTTTTGGGGGGAGGCTTCAGCTGTTGTTTTTTTTTCATAAAAACAACGATAATTACTTTGGAAAAAAAGAAAGAAACTAACTACCTGTATGAAATGGTGTTTAAGTTATTCCTAAAGCCCTTTTAAATGTAATCACATGAATAATAATACTTTAAGAGATACATTTTAAATATTTTTTTCCATAAAACATGGTTATATTTTACCATTTTGGGGGGGCTTCAGCCCGAAAGCCCCCCGTAGATCCGTCCGTGACATACAGGTGAATAGTTAACTGCCAACGTTTCGCCAATTCAGGCATCAACAGTGTAGCCGTACGGGCTAAGGCACTTGCAATAGGTAATCAATGTTAAGCAACGAGGCCATGATTTTAGTACTTAGATGGGTGACCGCCCAGTTTGGGTGACCGTCCACCAGAGAAAGACACGTTTTCCCCTGACACGAGATTCCTCTACCCCCCTCGGGTATGTGAGCCCCGTCAGCCTACTGGAGGTAACTCACACCGCCGCAGGGAGGTGAGTGACCCCTGTGGCAGACATAGCTCCTGGTCCTCCAGGTTGGGGATTGGGCAAGGGCTAATAACCCTATCCCGTCAAAAAATACCTATCCCGTCAAAAAATACCACATTAGGAAACCAAAAATGAGGCTCGGAAAATCTGTCTGTCTTAACATAGTAACGAGGCCGGATTTGTATAACGGACTCCATATCGGATCATGGAATGTTCGGAGCTTATACAGACCAGGAGCCGCCCAAACGGTAGTTAATAAAGTAAAAAGGTACATACCGTTAACAGCCATTCAAGAGGTAAGGTGGCCAGATGTTGGGGAAACCACTATAGACGGCTATACGCTGTTCTATACCGGGAGGAACGACAAAAATGGGACAGCTGGCACTGGATTTATATTTAATCTGCCCGCCAGGAAGTCAGTAATAAACTTCACCCCCAGTCAATGAAAGAATAAATGTGCTGCGCGTAAGAGGTCGTTGGTTTAATATCATGATTTATTAATTTAATCGTGTATGCACCAACCGAAGAAAAAGAAAATGAGGTGAAGGACAATTTCATTGACATAAAATTAGTCATGGGTGACTTCAATTCCAAGAAAGATCGAGAAACCCAATTTAAACCCATCATCGGATGCCAAAGTTTCCACGAAACTATCAATAACAATGGAGTGAGATGTATTAATCTGGCCGCAGCTAAAGGTCTAGTCATGTAGTAGTAAGCAGTACGATATTCCTGCACAAGGACATACATAAGTATACCTGGGTAAGTCCTAAAGGAGCAAAAAGCCAAATCGATAATGTGCTGATAGACAAGAGGCATCAAAGCTCCGTACAAGACATTAGGAGTTATCATGGAGCACACTGTGATTCGGACCATACTCTGATTTGAATCAAACTCCGTCAGTGGCTGAAGCGAATCCACCGAATTGGGGACCAAGTGGAAAGAAAGAGGTACGAAGTCCGCAATTTGAAAAAAACCTATAGTACAAGCTGAATTTCAAATTGAACTGCAAAATAAATTCAAACCCTTGAACTCGGAAGGCCTCATGGTTGACCAACACTGGGAGGCACTAAAGTCGGGGCTAAAACAAACAGCTAAGGAAGTAATAGGGATTCAAGAAAAAAGAAAAGCCAAGAAATGGTTCACAGAAGCATGCGAAAAGGCAGTGGAGGAAAGAAGAAAAGTTCTCTGCTTAGCACAAACTGATCAAGCGATGCTGGTCAAATACACAGCCGCCAGGAAAAAGACAAACAAAATAATAAAGAACAGCCAAAAGAGAATTCCTCAAAGAAAGATTACAAACTATTGAGGAAAACTGGCTGACTGGAAATTTATGCAAATTCTTCGCAGATATCAGGAAAGAAAGGGTAGGATA